TCAAGATCGATGACGACGAACCCTTCGTCCTGGGACACCTCCATACCATCCTCGTCAAGGTGTGGAACGGAGGAGATATCCCGCGAGAGTGGAAGGATGCAACTATGACGGTGCTGTACAAGGAGGGTGACCGGTCCAACTGTAACAACTACAGGGGAATTTCGCTACTATCTCACGTAGGCAAGGTCCCNTGAAGGCATTCGGGCCCGACCACGGATCTACGAAAACCGATCCATGTTGCCTGGGAATCCCGGTACCGAAAGACACGGCACCGATGTTAAAGTGGACGGAATCCGCGAAGGTGGAGGGGGGAGTAGCCTGGCATGCGGCGGTGCTGCAGGGAGCTGAGAGNCCACCGTCGACATGCTGTTCGTCGTGCGCCGCCTCCAGGAGCTGGGGCGCAGAAAGAAAATACCGCTCTGCATGTGCTTCGTCGACTTGAAGAAGTCGTACAATTCGGTGGACCGAGAGATGCTATGGAAGGCGCTGGCTAGGGCCGGGATTCCCGCGAAGCTGATCGAGTCATCCGCCAATTCCACGATGGAATGCGGGCCCGGGTGCGCATGGACGACGGAGAACTATCGGACTGGNTAGCCTGGCATGCGGCGGTGCTGCAGGGAGCTGAGAGGTTCATGACCTCCTGGTACGAGAAGGAAGAAGAGGCCAGCCGACAACGAGTGCTCAAACGAAACCACAAGCCAGCAACCAATGGGGCGGGAGGGGGGCAGGAGACGGACAAGAGGGTGACGGAAGAANGGGCGTGCGACAAGGATGTGTGCTATCCCCACTGCTGTTCAACATCTTCCTCGCCGAGGTTCTCGAGGTCGTTGTCATCCGATTCAGCGAGGATGATGCTGTTCTGCGGCGCCTGGTGTACTTGGAAGNTGCGGGCCCGGGTGCGCATGGACGACGGAGAACTATCGGACTGGTTCTCTGTCACGCAGGGCGTGCGACAAGGATGTGTGCTATCCCCACTGCTGTTCAACATCTTCCTCGCCGAGGTTCTCGAGGTCGTTGTCATCCGATTCAGCGAGGATGATGCTGTTCTGCGGCGCCTGGTGTACTTGGAAGAGGGGAAGACGGAAGCGGGGGGGGGGAGGAGACACCCCTTGACCGAGTACGGAGGGCAGTATGGGGGATGCTGAATGCCGATGAGACCGGCGTCGTATCGAGGTCTGCAGAAGGACTGGCGAGAATGATGCCCATCATCGTTGAGGTGTTCGGGGAGTTCGGGCTAACAGTGTCGGAGAAGAAGACGGAGACGCTCCTGATGCGCGCAAAGGACACGCCGACTACAACATCACAGCCCCCCCTGCCTCCACCGCTGACCACCGAAGCCGCGNCCCCAACGCTGCACCATTGCACCAACCCCCCACTAGTGATGACGTACCAGTACAATGTATCGCTGGTTGGTGGCCATGTTTGCGGTTTGCTTGTTCGTTGGTGGTCTCTCCACCGTGTGCCTTTTTCTGTCTCGCGTTTCTTGTTATTTTCGGCCTGGTCCCTTTGTCCTCGCTCTTCTTCATTTTATATTATCTTTCCCTACTGTTTCCTTTTATTTTTTATCTTCTTCTCTGTTCTCTATTTTTCTCGATTTTTTTCTCTTTTTTTTCTGTGCCAGATGGCCTCGTCTCTGGTTGCGTTGTGAAGTTCCAAGATTGAACCACGGGGGTGTACCTCATTCTCTCCGACCCGTGATGGTGACTCCTAGTCTCAGTTGTTACCTCGCATCATAGCGCGCAGAGGGAGTAGAGGACTCCAGAATATCTGTCGTTGATTTCTATTGACTTGCGGACCTCTCGGGGCCAGTTTATTTGAGTGTACCTTTTAAGGGTAAGTTAACCTGTGACAACGGGAACCGACCGCGTCGAGTGTTGGATCAGTACCGACATACGAAGGTACTGGGTAGAGAGAGATCGGAACGGTTTTCAATGTGAAGACAACAGCAACAACAATAAAGCAACATCTGTTTGGGGTGCTCGGCAGAGTATACTGTCTACGGGGCCTCCGGAGGGTACGCAGATGAAATGTGTTGATGGACATGCTGCATGGCGATGGTGTGGCCTACCGCATGTCTCTCACTCTCTAAGCAACAAGGTCTTGAGTCAACCTTCTTTCTCTTCGGCCTCTGACGAGCTACCGCACCCAAACACACCAATATTAATATACCCTCCAGAGGTTGTTGCCGAATAGATCCCTCTAGAGGCAGTGTGTGCGACAACTACTTCTTGAGGCGTGTGTTACGCTGCCCTCTAGAGGGTCATGCCAAAATAAACGCTCTATAGGGCCCCGAAGAAAAAATCCCCCTGGAGGGTACCGTTAACCCTACTACTTGAATACAGGTCGATTCAGCTCCGTTCTCAGCTCCGATCACTTCGCGTGGCGAAAGATCGACGTTGTGCCTCGGCTAAGAGCAAAAAACATACATACATAGAGACTAGCAGGGAAACACAGGCAGTCCACCCCCAAGCACGCTTATCAGTGATGCGCACAGGACTCACATAGTACAATATTCACCCATGCCAATCTCTCCGACGTTGGGCAGATATCCTTTCCAAATCTATTGTACTGCCTACCGGTACTGAAGATTCAAACGCAAAATACCACCGGAGGGTACATACAGCAATGAACATATGATCAACCCGGTGCCGCATTCGCGGGGGAGATCAGATAAAGCGCAAACCGGAGCCGATGCTAACGTACTGCCTCGGTGCTTGATGTTGTTGTGATTGCGGCGCGTGCGTGTGGTTTCCAGTGTTGGGAATGAAGCATGGTTCGTCTGCTGTGTGCAAAATTTGACCCAAGGCAAGGGATTTCGGGAATACAGCTCCGATCACAGCACCGATCGCAGCTCTCTGTTTATAGTACAGAGTTGATAGGTATACTTGTAGCAATGCCAAGTGGATGATACGGGATGTTCCCATGGAATGAGGTAGAGCGGAATACCGATGCGGGTGATTTGTGTTGTGTGGTACGTAGAATGGATTTCCAGGCATGTGGTACAAGGTTTTTTATGTCGCCATCGCAAGCGTACTTACAAGCCCCGCATTAGGATGCAACCAAATGGTCTCACAGCAAGTTTTTCTCCTCGGCGAGAGCCCGCCGACTTGCCGACACCCTTTTCAACACACGTCTTGCGACAAGCTACCCCCAGTTCGGATTATTGTAATACGCTAGCGTGATAGCATACGGGATCTCGAGGCGGGGCTAGCTGCAAAAGGGTTTGACCATGGACCAGTGACAGGTAAATCATGGAGCAGCAGCTAGATGAGCTCGGCTCTCGGACAAGCAGCGAAACGCAATCGACCTCTTATCACGGAGCAGGTCAACATGAAAGTATTAGAACAGCAGCAGCAGAGCGCCCCGAGGCACAGAGCGAGGGCATGCCTTCCGAAGGAGGCGACACCCGGCTTGAGAGGCCGGCTGGCTCGTAGTCAAGCCCGCGACCCGAAGACCAGCCCCAATCGCCGGCGGCACCCTCGCGGGGGCCTTGCAGAGGGTCAAGATTGAACCGGAGGATGAGAACAGGGAAGTCCCAACCCCTAAGAAAACAATACGTATAAGCGCAGGTATCGCTATCCCTGCATTCACCGGGAAGTTTAGCCCTGAGGACGATGTTCAGACGGCGGTAATGGTCTTCACGTTGATTCCGGTCTTTGTTGGAACAGGAGCGTTGCCTTGAGTCAGTAGAGTCCAGGAACACGATTCGTGTAGGAAAGACTGATGCAGCTATCTCGGCGTTGAAGGTGGAGCATGGGACGGTAGCTGTAGATCGGGTAGTTAAGGCATGGCAGCTGATAACCTCAAAGATAAAAGTACCCACGATAGCCTGCAATGCTAGCTAGTGGCTGCCCCATGAATCGTGGGAACTATCTCTCAACTTTTACTGAGTGCACGCAGAAACGGACAGGTTGCAGGGGCACTGGTACTCATTGAAGCAGCATGTAGGGGAGAAGCCCCGACGGTATCTCACTAGAGCATCAGTACTTCGCCAAAAGCTACAAGCGTATGGTTGGCCAAACTGATCACGATGCCAACACACACCATGTGCGCAATCTCCTGCCCGATTACAATGTGCAGAGGAGCGTGTTGTTGGCGCATACGGAGCTTAAGACGGAATTATTAGATAACGTGATTCTGACTGCCTGGGCGGAGACGGAGGCCGCTAGGAAGAGGGCGTCGGAGAGCGTCGGGGCGTATGCCCTCGTCAATGGCGGTGACAACCGTGGTGGCGGGGGCAGGAACATGGAGGATAGGGGGAAGACAAGAGGACAACGGAGAACGGCAGCGCGACAACAGCACCAACAACCGCAGCAGCCACGGCAGCAGCATCAGCCGCAAGCAGCAGCAACAGGTATACCCGCCGCCGTACCCGCCTGAGAACTACACAAAATATTGCGACCTCCTCAACTCCTCGTCGCACAGCAACGAGGAATGTCGCTTACATTGGGGTTGGGGAGGTCCCTCGGGCGGACAAGGTGCGAGCTACGGCGGAAGGCACTGGCCCCAGCATGGGGGCCGGGGCTTCTCTGGAGGAGGACGTCATCAGCAGCAACCGGCAGGAGGAAGATTCGGGGGGCGTGGCGCCGATTCGGGTGGGAGGGGCAGGGGGCCTTTTCACCAGGGACCGCCGGGCAGCAACCTCCCCGCCTACCCTGTACCTCAGCGGGGCTACGACTACAGCGCCTACCCACCCCACATGTGCAGCCCGCAGGGAAATGAACCTCCCATCCACCCGAATGACCCTCGCAAGCGGTGTGAGAACTGCGGTGAACTCGGCCACAACCACCTGTTCTGTCCTTCGCGTGTTGATGTCGGAAGGCCAGCTGGCATGCCGGCCGCCTACGCGACGCCCAGGCCCCCGCCGCCCCGGCCGCCGGCCGGTGGCTACAGCCAGCGGCCGCTGTGGGCCCACTCGTACGGGCAGGCCAACACCGCGCAGCAGTACGGCGGAGAGGGTCACGTGGGGGTAGAGCCTGGAGCAGCAGGAGGGACGGCGGCGGCAACGGCAGGAGCACCATGTACGGGGGGGCATGCGGTGACGCAGGCGAGCGGTGTGTACGAGTACCCACCCCAACAGCACCAGCCGGAGCACCTATACCCCCCCTTCCAACAGCAGCAGCCACTCCCCGCTCCTTACGCCTCTCCCGCGCCTTCGACCGGAGCACCTTCGTCGACAGGTGGGACTTTGCATGCGTGTGTTGTAAGGGACATGTCAAGTGCGTGCCAGAGTGAGATTTCGAGTGGATTTGTGGGGGGTAAGGGGTATGCCTTGATGAACTCTATGTCGGTTGTGAGGGAGGAGCCTGTAGGAGTTGAAGAATGGCTTGCAGACTCCGGTGCAACTAACCACACCACCGGAGACCCCACGAACATGTACGATGTGATCATCCCGCCCCTTGGTAGCGAGAGAGTGCAGATAGGCGATGGCAGGACGATGCGAGTGCTTGGAATCGGATGTTTGAACGTGAGGTTCCATGCTGAAGGTAGAGAATTTTGCGTGAAGCTAACCCGAGTACGTCATGTAGAAGGAATGGGGTTCAATCTTTTCTCCCTTCACCAAGCGCAGGGCATGCAACGTATTGCCTTCGACGACGTAGGCACCCATCTGTTCCATGGCCAACTGACCTTTCCCCGTGGCGAGAGGGGTTCGTCGCTATAGGCCACTCGCTTGCCGCCGAACTATCAAACGCCCACCGCTGTGCCTGTGATGCCTTTTCCCCCGGTACCCCCCCCCCCGCGCTGCTGGTGTACGTGTGCACGCGAATGATGGTAGAGTGATGCAAGAAACCCCACCGGTGTTTTCCCCTCCTACGGGTGAAGGATACGTTCCTCCCGCAGTGTCAGGTATCCCGCCCGCTGAAAGCAGCGTAGTGCCTCCGGCAATGTCTGTACCCCTCACCGCTCCCAGGAGTGTTGTTCAAACCCCCCGTGTCGAATTTTCCGCCCGCTTCTGCCCGCTTCCATCGGCGTAGTACCTTCCATGGTGTATGGTTTCCCGCCCGCTGCAAACAGCGTGGTGCCCTCTACTGTGCCCGCTTTCCCTCCCGCTGCGAGTAGCGTAGTGTCCTCAACTGTGTCCGGTTTCCCGCCCGCTGAGAGCAGAGTCGTTCCTCTGGCAATGTATGCCCCCCCCCCCGCTGACAGGACTATGGTTCATCCTTCCACTCCTCTAGTGCCGCATGGTATGGAATTGGTAGCTGTTCCCGGGCTGCCCTCGCCAGAATGTAACATCAAGTCCAAAAACTCGTAGGGGTCATCCTATTCTTCTCTCTGCTACACGAGGTACAATGCCCACTCATGATCTACCTGCTCTGTGAACGGAATACACCCACGATAATTATCCTCACTACTCTCCTGAAAAATGTTGACGTCTGGCGAGGGCAGCCCGGGAACAGCTACCAACTCCATATCTTGCGTGAGCTTTCGAAGCAGCACGGCCTCCGACTGACCGGTGTTCTGTAGCCTTGTGGTGGTTGCCTGGAGGCTAAGGGGAAGAAGGCAGGCGTGCCCCATAAAATGGGCGCGTGCGCGGGCGGGCCGCACGATCTTTGGCATATCGATCTGTGTGGGCCCATGACGGCGTCGCTGGGGGGCTGGGGGGGTCGTTTTTCATGATCATGTTCGTGGACAGCTTCTCGCTGTGGACGAAGCTGTGCGGGATGAGGCGCAAGTCGGACACCCTCGCCTTCGTCACGAAGTTACTCGCCGACATGAGTGGCACCGATATTCCTCGCTCTTTCCGGATGGATAACGGAGGGGAGTTCATCAGCCGCGACTTCATCGCCTTCTGCGACAACGCTGGCATCCGCCGTACGTACACGGCACCGGGCACCCACAGCAGAATGGTCCGGCGGAGAGTGCGATCTGGCGCGTGACCAAGGCCGGCCACGCCGCTCGTCTCGAGGCACGCCGCCTGTTCCCCAAGATCAACTTCACCCGCACCCCCGGGTTCGGGCGCGATGGCGAGCGCCTTTGGCTAGAGTCGTGTCACTGGGCTGCCGGCGGCTTCAACCATTCCCCGACCAAGGCAAACGTCGGATACAAGTCGCCGCACGAGCTCTTCAGCGGTCGCCCGCCCCCGCTCCAAGTCGTCCCGTTCTTGCAGCCGGGGTACATGCGTGTGACGCGCGCGGGGAAGATGGATCCCCAGGGAGTGCTGTGCTGCTACCGCAACAACGGCGACAACCATCACGATTCGGCGGTCAATGTTCTCAAGTTTTGCGACGGGGCGCGTGTGCATGACGAACAACGTCGTAGGGGTCTCCGACCGCGCGCCGTTGCTGACCCCGCCGCTGGAGCTGCCGGCGCCGGCGGGCGAGGGGGGGAACTCGGAAGTCGCCGCCCCACCGTTTTTACATTTTCTTAATATCACACAACAAATCCATCTCTATCTACCGTTTCTAATGGAGCACATTTCACCGCCTCGTGTACCCCTCTCACCGTTCGCCCGTTCTCCCACTTCAGCTGCCATACACTCACAGGCGCCGCCGGCAACTTCCACACCACCGTCGCCGCCGGCGCCGTCTACCGCAGCCACGCCACCGCCACCGTTCACCACCGCCGCTGCACCGTCAGCAACACCGTTCCCCGCCGCCGCACCGCCCGGTGCCGCGCCATCGACCAACATGCCGCCGCTCACCACGAGGACCACCCGTGAACTGGACGTGGGGCGCGGGGACATGAGGGTTTCTGGGCGCACGAGGGCAGCCGCTAAGGACCAAGGGGGGGGGGCGGGCGTCGTCAATGCCGCCCCTCTCTGCCAAGGCCAATCGAGAGCTGGACTTGGGACGAGAGACGCGGGTGCCAGGGAGCTGGAGGAGTCGGGGGGTGCGTTTCCAGGGTAGGGGGACCGAGCGGTCGACGTCACCTGGCGGTAGCGGCGACGCTCCCGCCCACCGCTTCGGGCTTGTATCTCTGCAGGACAAGGCAACGCTCCTGTCGACTCTCACCACTCGCAGCGTCGTCGATGGGGGAAGACAGGAGATTCCGAGGTCAGCCGGTGGGCGTGATGGAGCAGAGCCGGGGGGGCAAGGGCGGGGGGGGCGAGAGCGGGTGGGCACGAAAACAGACGAACCGCGTGAGAAAACAGAACGACTGCGTGAAGAAGTCCCATTTGCGTTCGCCACCCTGCTTGCCTCCCGCGAGGACATCGACCGCGTGATGAGGGATTTAGATCCCCCAGAAGCGGCACCGGACTTGTCACATTGTTATGCTAGTGATCTCAGAGTACCGAGAGACATTTAGGGAGGCTATGAAGTCTGCCTGTGGACACTTGTGGAAGGATTCTGTTGATCGTGAATTTAAGGGCCTGATGGAGGCCGGCACTTTCGAATCAGTTTCGTAGCAACCAGGGAGCGTGAATAAGGCCAAATCGGGTTTTTGAGTGGAAGGCTGATGAGTATAGATGGCCAACCAAGGTGAAATCAAGACTAGTTACGAGAGGCGATATGCAGCAAGCACATGTTGATTGTGGGGAAACGTATGCACCGACTGAAGCGGTTTCTAGTGTTTGTCGGTTAGCTGCGATGGCGTGTGAGCAAAATCTTTCCCTCCGTCATTTTGACATCAAGCAAGCATTCGTACCGTCGGAATTGGATGAGGATGTTTTCATGCGTCTGCCTGAGGGCTGTGGTATGTTGTCTGGTAACGTAGTGGGGTCGAGCAAGAGTTTGTACGGTCTGAAGCAGGCGTCGAGACAAATGGCATTCGCACTTGGGGAAGTGTTTGATTTGTTGGGGTTTTATTCAGGAAAAACTATTTACGTCACCGGTGGCGGTATTTCTTATATACGGCACCGCCCGTATCTCAGCCCACAGAGCTTCAATTGGCACAAAATAAATTGCGTCGTGTAGCTATGACCCACACCAATCATACAAGCCTTTCGACGGTCAAATCCGATAAGTGGTTGCGGAGATTTGCTCAAAAGGGGGCTCAGCGGTATGATATACTGTATCTGCCATAAATAAAACGACCGTGCCTCCTCGCAGAGAGTTCTCATCGACACCAACTATGTAACTCGCGTTGTGTTTCCACGATTCACAGCCATCACTTAAGCTATTGGTGTCGATTGGAGCTCTCTGCGCGAAGTTACAGTCGGATTATTTTGTGGTAGATGCACTATCATACTGCTGAGCCCCCTTTTGAGCAAATCTCCGCATCCACTCATCGGATTTGACCGTCGAAAGGCTTGTATGACTGGTGTGGGTCATAGCTACACAACGCAATTTATTTTGTGCCAATTGAAGCTCTGTGGGCTGAGATACGCGCGGTGACGTATACAAGAAATAACGCCACCGGTGACGTAAATAGAATCCTCCTTTATTCAGTGCATGGCGGATACCCGTTTTGTTACGATTGATTGAGGAGGGAAAAGTGGTAGTGACTCTGGTGCTACATGTAGATGATATATTTTCGATAGGAGAGGAGGAGAGGTGTGACCAGTTTGGCAGAGATCTCAATACCATGGGTACCGTTGAAGAATCTTGGGACTTGAGATGGTATTCAGGGTGCTTTTATGAGAGAGATTAGGAAGCAGGAACATTGAATATTTCGCAGCAGACGCATGCCGAAGAGTTGGGATTGGCGTTCGGAGTGGGGTATGGAAAAGAGATACCTCTTCCGGTAGGGATGAAACTTTCTGAGTTTGATCAAGATGAGGAAGCAGTGCCGTGGCCTTTTCGTGAGCTGATAGGGTCGTTGATGTTGCTTGCAACGCAAACGAGGCCAGACATCGCGAATGCTGCAAGAGCGGTGGCTAGGTATCGTGCATTTTCCAAAACCATCCATTGGAGAGCAGGTCTTAGTATCTTGGGTATGTGGTAGGGACTAGTGACTTGGGTATTACATTTCGGAGGGGCAGTATAGAAGGGTTGAGCATGCAGAATTTCGCAGACAGATGCAGACTACGAGAGTAAGGCTGCTGATAGGAGGTCTGTGTCAGGGGGTTTGGTGATGTATGGAGGGGGGTGTATTTCTTGGTTTTCGAGGACGCAGAAGTGTGTGACGTTGAGCCCTAGTCTACAGAGGCAGAGTGTGTCTCTTGCGGAAGTGCTGAAGAAGGAGGTGTTGTTCCTAAGGCAGGTGTGGCGTTTTATGTTGCCAGATACGGGTATGCCGTGCATCCCGGTGTATGAGAACAACCAGAGGGCTTTTCAGCTGGCGGCGCAGAATCCGATTAGCAACAGCAATTTCAAGCACATTGACGCAAGACACCTTTATCAGGGAGCTTGTAGGGAGGAAGGAGATCTCGATTTTTCACGTGGAGTCAGTGTACCAACATGCCGACTTTCTCACTAAGGCGCCTTCACGTGGGAGACTTTGAGTTTCATCGTAATTTTGTGATGAGTATGGGACAGGAACGGTAGATTTGGATTTGTTTGTGTTTGATCAAACATCTAAGGTGGCAATGACATACATTTTTGCCTACGGTTTTCTCAATGAATGGTGTTCTAGGCTGCGGGGCTATTGGATCGCTAGTAGTAGACTATCGAAGAACTATAACTAGACTTTTTTTTTCTCCCATCATTGGACTCTGTCGTCTGCCCCTCTGGCCCCTATCCTACACTTCTACCAGCTACACGACCCAACCGGGGTCACATAGGAGGGGGGGGTTGGACCCCCTCCTGCGGTTCCTGCCTGAGATATTTTTATCGCGAAAAGGGTACAGCAATCCCTTCCCTCGCGACTTATGAAGTCGATCAAGTTTACTAACAACGAGCTTTGCAGCGCGTCGCTTCCAACGGAGACCAGGATGTAGTTAGCGAGAAAAAACTCACTCTGTCGGGACTATATATAGTTACGACAAAATTGTTCTGTACCCAGGTCGCTGCGGACGTGAGTTCGTTTCGAAATATTTTTTTCCGTTCACAACCCACCCGTCTATTTAACTTTGCTTCCCCCCCGTAGTGGTGGGTGCACCATACGTACATGCGTGTTATGCATGTGTATGTACTGCATGATTTGGCTGTGTCTGCTTTACGTGTATGTATCCATCTTTCGTTGAATGTTTGAAACAACACACACACGCGCGCGCGCGCTGCTCCTGTCTGTGGATGGATTGATTTGATCCGTCCCACCTTCTCCACAAAAATACATCCACATCCATGTGGCCTCTGCTTTTCTCCGGAATGTGCCACACACACCATGATGCCACGGTCACTGTCCCACAACACACTGTTTGCATGCCAAACGCGCGAATACAACGTTTCTCCGCCCGCCTGTGGCGAGGGTGTGTGTGCACGTTTCCCTTGGGCGAAAATACGGTTCTGATGAATTTCAAGTCGTATGGCGGCCTGGACGGCCTGGAATCCGCGGCGGTGGGAGACGCAGCATCAGAAAAACGGCAAATGCGGAGTGTGGAAACGAACGAACAAGGCGACTCAATAATCAATATCTGCGTTTGCTTTTTGCGTGTTCTTGCACACCCCCTGCCGCGGTGCTCTCTGTACCCCACTCCGGCGGGACGCCTTGTAAATGTACATACATATGTAAATTCTCTTCGAGTTGCCAGCTGATGATGATGATGAACTCCCCCCCCCCGTCCCTTGCTGATGATGATGAACACCACCCCTTCGCCCTCTCTAGCCAACAATGAACACCACTCTCCCTCTCTGTGTAAATCACACTAACTGTCTGAAGGCGCCCCCCACACCTTAACACTGCTGTGTTTGCGATAAACGAGTCAACGGTACTTGAAAAGGGACCACGACCACTATTTACTACTACTACTTCTCCTACTCTACTATTACTGCTACTATAATACTGCTATATATATACTACTACTAAATACCAGTCTACAGCCTACCAGGTTGTGTTTTATATACAGAAAATCACGTGTAGGGCAGCGGGTGCTTGTCGTCAGAGACTTCTGAGACACGGTTGGCACAAGACCTTGACAATAACGAGTGCGCTTGGCAAGCTTGCCCGTGCACCCACAAGGGGGATCGCCCTCCTACAAACACACGCTAGATCTCAATAGACCCGAATCTAGCGCCGAGTACACCCAACATCATGTCCGTCTTGAGCAAACAAACAAATATAGAACTTTTCCTCGATCCCTTTTCCCGCATCTGCTAGACCTTGAGCTCATCTTGTCCTGCCTCGACCCTCCGTGTCCTAGGGTCAGACCCGTCCATCGGGTGCGAGATCGCGGCCAGGGATGCTTTCACGGATATCTCTGCCACCTGGGGCATGTCAAGGAACACAAGGGCGTCACACCCCGCAATTCAGCAAGCCGTGTGATCAAATTTCTTGTGTTGTAGGTCGTGTTCATGTATCAACCAAAAGGATTGTACAAGTAGAATGGGGCATGGACGGGAATGAATTCAATTTCCAATTTTCAAGCGTCAGGTATAAGTAAGCCTCCGGGCAGGTCTACACTTGCACCCCCGATGTGCAGGTGTTGAGAGGGTGGCCTAAGCGTACTTATCCCCTGATGTCGAAGATCTGGGGATAGTCTTCACCACTATCGTACTACATCTGCCTTCCATCCACAACAGTTCCCATTCATCCATGAGACCGTGTTTCCTCGGAACTGAACAGTGTTTCTTCGGAACTCCTCCAAGCCGATTACAATGACTGGCTCAACGCCCGTACCTATCTGTGTGCTGGTTCTACCGGCACGAGTAAGAGGAGAGTTTTGTACCGACCGTCAATGACGCTGATGATGACAGAGGTTGTTATCGCCATCCCCACATATTCCCACCGCAGGAGAGGGTCCAGCTCCCCCCTCCTATGTGACCCCGGTTGGGTTGTCCAGCTAGTAGAAGTGGAGGATAGGGGCCAGAGGCGCAGACGACAGAGTCCAATAATGGGAGAAAAAAAAAAAATCCCACCGGTACCTCCTCCATCCTCTGCAACACCCAATCAATGACAAGCGCTTGGTGACACGCCCGAGCCCCGTGTAACATGATATGTACATACAAGGGGCTCCGCGGCGGGTGCGCTGATGCGCCCCGCCGCTCCGCTTTAGGCTGAATGCGATGTCAAGTGTGCGAGCGGAGAAGAGATGACGGAGGCGTTTGTTTTGTGGAGTTGGTGCGTGGAGTTGGTATGCATGCGTAGAATACTTTTGTTATTGAATTGAAAGTAGGAAAGGCCGCACGCAACGCTCTGTACGAAGGTAAGAGAAACTCTCCGCGTACGACATTGAATAACTCTACTGAATTCTATGTAGTCTACAGCAGTCGACACTCACAGAAAAATCACCCAAGAGGGAAGACGCAAAAATGGGCTACCAGAAGTGGGCAATTGTATGCAGGAATTTGCCGATTGTGGTCGATCTCCAGTCTACCCAATAAGGCACTCAGAAAGAAAAATCACCCAAGAAGAAGTCGGCAATTGTACGCAGTATTTGCCGGCGGGTACCTCTTACTTACATATGAAAACACCCAGAGAAGTCCGCAATGGTATGCAGGAATGTGCCGGTGGGAAACCTTTTCTCTAGTCTATGAGACTCTACGGTGGGAACTCTA